GATGGATAGATGCAGGCTGACCTGGTGACTTCTGACCATAAGTGATGCATGATGACCTCTTGGGTTTCAGAGTTGTGAAGAGCATCGTAACTTTTGAGTTAGCTTATTTTCATTCATTTTAGCTGTGCATGCCGTGTTTGACAGTCAAGACCAGAAGTGTCTAGTGGTTGGTGGGATGCAGCTGCTGGGGGAAAAAAATGAGACAAGCTTCTTAAGAGAGCAGGGTGTATAAAGAATGAATGACAAAGCGGGAGCTAAGAAAAGAGAGAGGTGCTAATGTTCAGAAGTTGAATGCGTCAGCTCACGTGTATGCCTAGCCTGCACCCAAATTTTAACTGTCAGAACAAGCATGCAGAACAGAATAACATAAGAACATAAGAGAAGCCAATGTTGGATCAGGCCAATGGCCCATCCAGTCCAACACTCTTGCGTCACACAGTGGCCAAAAATACCAGGGTCCATCAGGAGGTCCAGCAGTGGGGCCAGGACACTAGGAGCCCTCCCACTGTTGCCCCCCCAAGCAACAAGAAGACAGAATCACTGTAATGTTAACAGAGGATTAAGAGGAGATCCGTTGCAGAGCGTATGACGTTCTCTACATTCATATGGAGGTGCAGAAAATACATTACATTAGTGTAGCGTGGAGCTGGGTTGAATTTCTATTTGCATCTATTTCAGCTCGCTCGGGAGTGGATAGACGGGCAGGGGATATGTTGCTGGCTTTGCTCGACTCAAATCATTGGTCCTGTTAAAAAGCCAGTGCCAACGCCCTGACCTGGATAGCCCAGGCAAGCCCGATCTCGTCAGATCTCGGAAGCTAAGCAGGGTCGACTCTTGGCAAGTGCTTGGATGGGAGACCTCCTTGGAATACCAGAGGCTGAAGGCAGGGGGCAGGCTTCATTCAGCCGCCTCTCTGAATAGCCTCCAGGCCCCCTGGGATGGGTCAGTCACCAGAGGTCGCCATGGCTTCCAGGTGCACACACGGTCAGCTGATGGCGCAATTGGATGGCCTGGTTGCAGTGGAATAAAGTGAAAGAGAAGAGGGTGGAGACATGCATGGACATGAGAAGGCTGAGCTGAAATCAGAAAAGAGCCTTCCGAAGAATTCCGCTTTGCCAATGGGGACGGCTGACAGCTGCAGGTACCCAGGCCTTCTCTGCTGCAGCTCCCAACCAGGTGGAACAGCCGACCGGAGACAATCAGGAAGTCTCCCACAACTCTGCTCTGGAGGGCATTACTGTAGAGTGAATAAAGCGGCCCATTAGTATCTGCGGGACCTATGGTAGGGTTAACTGTACATATTAAGCCATTTTGGCTTGGGGGTTTATTGGGGAGGTTAGGGTAACCAAGCTGTAGGTAATGGCTGGAGATGTTCCCATAATTTCAACTGATCTCCAGTCGATAGATATCATTTTGCCTGGAGGAAATGGCTGCTTTGGAAGAAGAGAAGAAGAAGAAGAAGAGATTGGATTTCTACCCCGCCCTTCACGACCCGAAGGAGTCTCAGAGCGGCTTACAAACTCCCTCCCCCTCCCCACAACAGACACCCTGTGAGCAGTGTTCCCTCTAACCTGAGTTAGTGCGAGCCAGCTCACAGTTTTTTAGCCTCCGGCTCACGGGTTTTTGTGTCTGCTCAGGAAGGATGACTCCAGAGCAAACTAATTTATGCCGCAGCCGAATCGCTCACTCGCAACTTTAATGCCAGTAGCTCACAAAGTAGAATTTTTGCTCACAAGACTCCACAGCTTAGAGGGAGCATTGCCTGTGAGGTAGGTGGGGCTGAAAGAGCTCTTGACAGAAACGGCTCTTTTTCAAGGACAGCTCTTATCAGAACTATGGCTTGCCCAGGGTCATCCAGCAGGTGCAAGTGGAGGAGTGGGGAATCAAACCCGGTTCTCCCAGATTAGAGTCCGCGCACTTAACCACTACGCCAAACTAGGAAGGTGGACTCTATGGTATTCTACCCCATTTAAGGCCCTCCCCTCCCAAACTGTGTCCTCTTCAGGCTCCACCCCCCAAATCTCCAGGTATTTTCCAACCTGGAACTGGCAACCCTGGGGGGGGGGGGGGTTGCATTATTCTTAAATTTTGAAATCCAGTTTCATTTCACTGCTTATCTATATTTCTCAATTGTGGGCAGATCTGTGGATACCTAAATCTGCAGATCGGGCCCACACTGGGACAAAGGAGATTTTTCTCCACACTTGTGGGAACCACTGAGTTTACAGAAACGCCCTGCTTCCGGCCCTCATTCAGCCAGGAGTAGGCAGGAGAAGAGGGAGGGTAAGTTGCTTCCTCCCTGCCTCTCCCCACCCCTGCCTGCCTGGGGCCAGGGAGGGCCTTCGCGGGGCTTCCTTGCACTCCCGCCGGCCTTGCAGGTCCACCGCCGGGCCCCTCATGGGGCTCGGCAGTGAAGCTGCAAGGCCGGCGGCCGGGACCGTTGGGGGTGGTGTGTGTGACCTCATGACACACTTCCAGTGATGTCAGGGGGTGTGGCCTTATGACACACTTCCGGTGATGTCAGGGGGCGTGGCATATGCTAATGAGGTATGCTAATGAGTTCCCCTAGCTCTTTTTCTACGAAACGACCCCATTAACCCCCCCTCCTAAAAACAAAAGCATTGTTTGTGCATGGACAGACAAATGCACTTACCCCTTTTGGTGGACCGGCAGCGTTGCTGATAGTGCAGGGGGTTAGCCAGGAGTTGTGGTGGGCTCGGCTGCTTTGTTGTTGGAGGGCGGGAACTACAGTGGGAACTTCATCGATAGGGAGGTTGCTGGGAGGCCCAGCAGGCCCAGCTGTTTCACTGTTGGTGTCATGAACTAACAATCTTGATTGACCCACATGATGTGACACTCCTGTAGAAAGGTTGATACAGCCAGGCCATGACCTCAGAGAGGAAATCTGTCTGCACCTGATGTGGAGTGAGCTTTGGCTAGTGAACTTGAACCTAAAGGCATTTGGACCTGGAAACCAAGGGCTGGTGGGGCATGCGAATGCTGCGTGGTGTGTGAATATTCAGAGTCAATGTCAGAATTCTGTCCTATTGGAGAAAATGTTTAGAACGACCCCAGGATTCCCTGGGGGGTTAAGTTTTAGTTTGCACCTGAAAGCCTCCAAGAGATTAGGTGACCGTTTGGCCTCGATTCACTTGAAATGTTCAATTCCTGATGATCTACGAAGGAATAAAACCCAAGCGCGGGAACTGAAGGAATGGGTGTTCAAAAAGGATGGGCTTATGGATCAGGATGTGATGGCGCGCCGTGCGCCTTGGTGTTTAGTCATGCCGGCCACATGACCACAGAAATGTCTTCGGACAGCACTGGCTCTTCGGCTTTGAAACGGAGATGAGCACCGCAAACCTAGAGTCGGATTCGACTGGCTTTCGAGCAAGGGAACCTTTACCTTTACCTTTTTATGGGAACTGAAGGAATGGGTGTTCAAAAAGGATGGACTTATGGATCAGGATGTGATGGCACATTGTCTTACGGAACCATTATTCAAGTTTTTTTAAAGGGATCACTGTAGGTCCCTATATTTAGAGAAGTTAACCAGCCTGGAATTAAGATTGGCTTCTACAGCTTTAAGATTTCAATCCATGCCCTCAGTGATCAGGACTGGATGTTTCTTTGGTATCCCTGCCCCCCTTAGACTTTGTCTTTGTGATATGGGGGGAGTTGAAGATATCGTACATGATTTTCTGATATGCCCATGGCATGAAGCCGTTAGGCTAAAGTACATCATCCCTATTATTCCGCAGCGTAATGGACTCGCCGATCTGGATCTCGTCAAATTTTTACTCTCGGACCTTGACCGCTATGTCTCTAGCAGAATGGCGTTATTTGCCTTAGCAACAAGGAAAATGAGAATGAGTTTAGTATTTAATGCAAAGCAGGAGTATAGGAGTATACTGATTTTTTTTTTAATTGTTTCCATTACCATTTTATAGTCTGATGTATGGCCTATGGCTAAGACAATAAACTTATACTTGACTTGACTCGTGAATATTCACCAGTGGAGGAAGCAGGAGGACTACCGTATTGGAGAGGATTTCCTTGATGTCAGAAAAGGCTTCACGGCTAAATAAAATTGATCCAAAAATAAACAAACTCTGCTGGAAAAATGTGGGAAGACTGGAGATTTTATACACTGTTGGTGGTCCTGTCCCTCATCACAACAGTTCTGGACACAAATTGTACAACAAATTCACAAAATCACGGGAATCAACTTACCTTTTCTACCTGAAACGGTCTTGTTGGATGTCATCCCAGATACCTGTGAAAGAAAAGTCACTAGAACATTAATAGCAACATTATTAGCTATTGCACGCATAACTATAGCCCAGTATTGGAAGAACAAAAATCAACCTACTCTCCAATGTTGGCAAAACAAACTTTGGGAGCACTTTATATATGGTAAAATTGTCTCTCACCAAAAAAGTTTTCAAGCAACTTGGTTCCCAGTGGTGAACTATCTAGCAGAAGAAGAAGTGATTCCAAACAACTCTTATTACAAAGATCTGTTATATTTTTAAAAGGGCTCTTAAGGGTTGAAAAAGTTGATTATTTCATAGCGTCAATATATGTTATGAATGTACGGTTGTATATATTGTTCAAAATAAAAAACACTTATTGGAGAAAAGAAAGAAAGAAAAGGCTTTTGAGGAGGCAAGCTCCATGCCACAAGTCACAGAGCTGTGACTAGCGTTGAAGATGCAGTAGACCCCGTTGGCAGACTGGAGAGCCAGATTCCCTGGGGGACAAGATGCTCTGCAGCGGTCGGCATCCGATTAACGAGCAGATACATCCTCGGCGGGAAGTGCGTTTCTCCTTGAAGGGTAGTTAATGACTCTGGAGGTTCCTTGCCCACGTTTGAGTTACCTTCCTTTTGACAGATGCTGGAGACTGCACAGAGAGCATCCCTAGGAAGCTCAACTAATAACAGCTGCTTGATTTCTTTGTCATATATATACATATATATATATATAAGTATTTTCCAGGCTACCAAATCTCCTGGGAGGTCTACGGCAGGAATGAATCTCGTCTCACTCGCACTCTCGCTAACACAACCCTCGAGGACAAAATTACAGGCCTGTCATCTCTCACCACCTACACGATCGAGGTGGCAGCGATGACTGCGAAAGGGACCGGTGCGGTCACTTCATCCACCATCTCGTCAGGCGTCCCCCCAGGTGGGTACACCTGCGGAGCTTCCGACAGTCTGAGAAATTCGGGTGACGCTCGTAATGAAATTTTGTTTGTAATGCCGAGGGTCCCGCTTAGAATCACGAAAGCTCCAAATCTGGGAGGGAATTAGGCAAACCGAAGCAAGACAGGTTATTTACAGAGGTGTTTCGCTCGTACTTACTATGGCTTGAATGTGTGTACGAGGGAGGCCGTGACAACTCGTGATGATAGGACATTTTTACGGTTCATAGTGACATGATTAACTGCACCATGCCCCCTGTGTGTGACGACATTGTACTTAGGTCTGTGTTTGTATGGGTTTCTCAAGAGATGGGGGTGAGAACCTCGACTCTAGCAAGCTAGAGGAAGAGGAATGTGGAGTCTGGCCTGGGGCAACATCACTTTTCTCCTCCCTCTGTCTCTCTCCTGTGTTCCATCAGGAGAAGAACTCAGAGCCGTAATGACGACCAGGGCCAGTTCAAGATATTTGTTACCCCAAGCAAGGTAAAGTGTCACCTCCAGGGCCTGGGCCAGCACAGGTGTTTGCCTTGGACCTGAGTAGCAGTGGCACAGGCCCCAGAGGCAACACTGGTCAGCTCCCGCCCTGGGCCTGATCCTCACAGACAGAGGGCAAGGGCATGTCATTATACGTTAGGTTTCTGTCATTCAAATTATGCTTTTATGTAGATCAAGATGGGTAGCCACAGGGCTATTTTTGGGCAGGAACGCACAGGAACGGAGTTCCGGCTGGCTCCAGAGTTGGCCACGCCCAGCAGGAACTCATTAGCATAATAGGCCACACCCAATAGCAGGAACTCATTAGGATTGGCTACAGTAGGGGTGTGTGGCCTAACCTGCAAAGGGGTTCCTGCTCCAAAAAAAGCCCTGGGTTTTGACAACAAACAAGGTCAACAGAATAAGAAGCGAAAGGTGGGTGTGGCTGGATGAGCACACTTCTGGTGGCATGGGGGTGCGGCCTAATATGCTAATGAGCTGTGTTGTCAGGGGTGTGGCCTAATATGCTTATGAGTTTCTGCTGTTGGGTGTGGTCTATTATGCTAATGAGTTCCTGCTGGGCTTTTTCTACAAAAAGAGCCCTGGTAGCCATGTTAGTCTGTCTGTAGCAGTAGAAGGTCCAGTAGCACCTTAAAGACTAACTAAGTTTGTGGCAGGGGAGGAGCTCTCGTGAGCCAATGCCCACTTACGGCTCTGACGAAGTGAGCAGCATGACTCACAAAAGCTCATCCCCTGCCAAAAATTTGGTTAGTCTTTATGGTGCCGCTGGACTCTTCCTGTTTCGTAGCCCAAGTTTCTACTCAGCAGCTGGCATCTGCCAGTTTTGAAGCATACCTAGACTCTCCTAAGATCTCATACCTGTAGTGGTAGCCATTACAAAAGGATATTTCAATTGTTCAGATCCGTCAGTGAAAAAACGATGGGAGTTGCAGACGTCACTGAAATACGGAGCTGTTGCACTCTGACTCTGTGTTCTTTCTCTCTGTGTTTGTCCTTTTCCCTTTGGCGCAGAGCTCCCCGGTGTGCCATCCAATTTAGTCATCTCCAACATCAGCCCTCGCTCCGCCACGCTTCAGTTCCGGCCCGGGTATGATGGGAAGACTTCCATCTCCAAATGGATAGTAGAGGGCCAGGTAAGCTGAAGATTTAGTGATGGGATGAGACACATTGATGGGACGAGACACGTAAAGCTTGATTCTAAGGTCTTGCAGTGTCAGCATTAGATTTTCCTATGAGTTCTGGTGAGTTCTTAAAAGGAGGGAGGGGTTCAAGTAGGCTTGCGTTTGAACAGCCAGCGACATCTGTTGTGTAGCGTAGATCAAGTATAGATCTGCACCAGCTTCACAAACACACAGGTAGCACAACCTCACTCGGATAAAAATTGCTATTAGTGCCTAAGTCGTCATCTGGTTTTATCTTTGATTATTACTGTATTTGTAAAAATAATTAATTGGAGTATCGTTTTAACTTGTTGTTACCCGCCCTGAGACTTGCAGTGTAGGGGAGGGCAGGCTAAAAGTCCAGTGAAATAAATTAATTAATAAATATCGAGGGAAAGATTAGTCAACCAAGTTCAGGGGCAGACACTGAGCGATGCTCTCAGAAGGCACATGCATACAGCTCCAAAATCTCAAACCACCCCCCCTTAACATTGTGCCTTTTAACCATTGGAAGCAGTGTGGAAGGTGGGGGGCTGATAGCTGCTACAAAGAAGTAGAACACAGTTGTACAAAGGGATGCACCTGAGCTGAATTGAACAAAGGGATGCACCTGAACCCTCATACCTACGGGACCGCCTCTCCTGTTACAACCCCTGCATTCCCTTCGGTCATCCTCTAGGGGTGGCTTGGTTAGCTGCCACCAAGGGAAGGGCCTTCTTAGTTGTGGCCCCTGCCCTGTGGAATGCACTCTCAGATGACACCCGCGCCCTGCCAGACTTGTTTAGTTTCCACAAGGCATGCAAAGCTGAATTGTTTAGGCTGGCCTTTGGAGGGGCAAGTCACATGACTGGTTTGTTTTTGTTAGTGGTATGGCGCTATCCGCATATTTTAACAGCTTAACATTTTAATGTTAATATTCAATGGCCCCGGTCACATGGGCCGGATATCGCGGGGGGGAGGCGTGGCTGTTTGCCCCGCAGCTAAATAACGTGCGACTGTGCGATCAGGCGTCCCCTCGCGGTCCCGTGGTTAGGGGGGAGCTGCCGATCACACGACGCACCAAAGAACCGGCGCGGCACGGCAAACGAGATTGTGATTTTGTTTTTAACCTGAAGTATGTGCATGCCCCGTTGGGTGCCTGTGCGCATCCCTGCAGACTTCGAGAAGAAAAAAAACCCTTTTCGCAATGGGGCATGGGCGGGCGCCGGATGCCACCGGAAACGCAATCAGACGCCCGCCCTTGCCCCGCGATTTCCGGAAACTAGTACCTCCGAGGTACTAGTTTTTTTACCGCGTGTCTTCGGCGGGAAGGCTCGGGTGAGCCACGGGAGCTCTACGCTTCCCAGATGTTGCGGTGAGATCACGCCCGGAAAATCCGCCTATCTTCCGTCCCTCTAGCGTGGCTAATGCTCCATGTGACCGGGGCCTATATTTGTTATCTTTTATGTTGTTTCTACCTTATTTGTATGGTTTTAATGTTGTATGGTGCCGCAAGACCCTTTGGGTGGGCGGCGACTAAAAAAAAATCTAATAAATAAATAAACAAAACTGTTGCGATATTGACAAACTGCCCATCCACCTGAACCAGCGGGTCATCAGGTGACCAGGATTTTGACTGCTGCTTTTGAATTTTGACCGCGACAGCCACTTCAGGTTGCTTGGCAGCGACGTATTTGATTTGCCGTTTGTTCTTTTATTTATTTATTCGATCGATCAGCATGGTGGGTTCTGACCTGTTGCGGGCTCTCTGTTATGAGTGCCATTAGCAGGCAAGTGAATCGATTTGCTCGGATCATGTTGAAAGTCGGCATTTGCGTTACAGGAAAAGTGTCCAAAGGATACATGTTCCAAGACCTCTACACAGCAATCGCACACAGAAGTGTAAGGCTCATCTTAAGTTTTATTCATTATTTAGAGGGAAAGCGCTAGAAGGAAATTGCTGGATTTCATGGCTGGGCTAGATCAAAAAATATTTATTCTCAGAGTAGTTTGTTGACGATGTTGTCAGATCCCTAGGAAATGCTGAGTCATCTGTCTTGGACCCAACCCATGGAGTCTTGCCGGTTCAGAGGTCTCATCGATGCTCTTTAAAATTTAAATCAGGCCACCGAATAAGATCAACCAGAGCTTTGGGGTTGGGTGTCATCAGTATGCTAAAGGCACCCGGCTCCATATTTCTCCAAGTTAAGCTGCCGCTTTTGTATTTGAAGATATACAGAACAACAGAAGATGTGCGTATGGGTGAGGCTGGTTTGGTAGAGAGGAGTGATTTTCTCACCCTGTATGGAGTCAGAGTATCGTTTACCAACCTGTTAAAAAGGCAACAAAAAAATCTTAAGGTGGCTTTTGGATCCGCCGTTACTGTTTGACACAGATCAGCATAGGGCTGCCAAGTCCCCCCGGGGGGCGGATAATCCCCCGCTTTGGAGGGCCGATTTCCGCCACCACGGAATTGGGCCCCGGGGGGAACCCACCCCGGCGTGCACGTCAGCCGGATGTGACGTGATGACGCCGGGCACGCTGGGGGCAGGGCCACAGCCATTTGAGTGGAAAACTCTATGTTTGAGGGGGGAAACTCTATGTTTGAGGGGGAAACTCTATGTTTTCCCCTCAAATGGCTGTGGCCCCGTCCGCAGCGTGCCCGGCGTCATCACATCACATCCGGCTGACGTGCATGAGGCACGCGCACTTCGCGTGCGCGCGACACCAATCGGGAGCCCCCCGCTGCAAGGTAAAACAGATTTGGCAACCCTAGATCAGCAATGTCACTAAAAGTGATTTCTTTTCATTGATACATCATCCCTGGTTTTATTGAGTTCAATAACACAATACCTTGCATTTATCCCTGGTTATAACAGCATCTGTTTATCCCGGGACTAGTGCAGGGCGAAACCGGGGGGGACCTCAACGTAATGTGGAAACAAGAAATACCCCAAGATAATACCTCGAGTGTAGTGTATCCCAAGTGTAGTGTAGAATGTAAGTTCGTGGAGAGGGTTGAACCAGGATTTAAGGTCTAGTGCGGAAAGGACCCTGGTTTGTTAGTTCTCTTCTCTCCTTGATCTAGTCAGTTTGGCCACAAGGGTCCGTGGCTCTGTCATTTCACAGTGGATTGCTAAACATCACTTTGTGTGGGCTGCCCTCGTGGTCTTTTGCAAAATCCAGGTCCCCGTTTCCTGTTTGGGTTGAGCTAATGAGAGTGAACTCAATTCAAGGTGCCGGTTTTCCAAGCTCAATTCAAGGTGCCAGTTTTTAATTTTAAAGTTATAGTGGACCCATATAACTGAAGAATCCTCCCTCCCTCTCTCTCTCTCTCTCTCAGGGTTGCCAGCTCTGTGTTGGGGGAATTCCTCGATTTGTGGGGGGTGGAGCCTGAGGGCGGGGTTTGGGGAGGGGAGGGACCTCAGCAGAATATAATCCCATAGAGTCCACCCTCCAAAGCAGCCATTTTCTCCAGGGGAAGTGGTCTCTGTAGTCCGGAGGTCAGCTGGAATGCTAGATGTCCAGGCCGCACCTGGAGGTTGGCACCCCTGCTCTCCATCTATCCATCGGCTCCCACATTTATTTATTTTATATGTATCTCCTGCCCTCCCCCGCAAGCAGGCTCAGGGCGGGTCACAACATTTCATTAAACCTCCCATTAAGTAAACGTGATAGTGTTATAACGTAAGATATAAAATATAACATATAAAACCAAATTTGAATCCGGTCAGAGGGATGGCAACTATTCGAGGCAGTTCCTAGTGCCTCCTGCACAAATAGCAAGCCGTTTTCCGACGACACTTAGTTGGTCTCTATGGGGCGGGGCAAATTGTAACAGGCGCTGTAGCAAGTACGGAAGGGCGTAGGGTTGCCAAGTCAAATCTTCTTACCGGCGGGGGAGCGTCACCGGGCTCCGGGAGCTCTCCTCTGATGTGTGCGACATCGATCACGGGGACATGGCCCCGATCGTCGGAGGGAAAACCATAGAGTTTTCCCTCCGACGATTGGGGCCACGCCCCCAACGTGCGCCTCGGGGGGGGCGTTCCCCCCGGGGCCCGATTCCATGGTGGCGGGAATCTGGCCTCCAAAGCGGGGGTTTACCCGCCCCCTGCCCCCACTTGGCAGCCCTAGAAGGCCGAGATGGTTAGATGTCCGCTGCATCAGCCAAAGGCCTGGTGAAACACCTCCATTTTACAGGCCCTGCAGAATTGTAATAAGGCCCGCGGGGCCCTGATTTCAAGTGGGAGCATATCCCACCAGGCCGGGGCCAGGGCAGAAAAGGCTTTTGGGCCGGGGACTACCAGGAGATGTTGCTCTGCAACGCGTAAGGCTCTCCGAGTCACGTACGGTCCCGTAGGTATGTTGGTCCCTGGTCACAGAGGGCTTTAAAGGTTAATACACATGCCAGCTCCGCTCTTCAACCCAGGTAGTGCTGACAATTCCTCCTCTGAGGATCACCCCGACTTCCTCTGCCAAAGCCCGTGTGTCCTCTGTTGTGGCGCCCGCCCTAAGGAAAAGCCCACCAGAATAAATGTCTTTCCTGAGAAAGATGTGAAGTGGTCTTGTTTTCTAGGGCTTCTCCGTCACGTTCTGAGGTCGAGTGTTTTGGGCGGGTCATGGCGATCTGGTTGCATGTAGATCATTTGGGGAGGGGCTTGATGCGATAAGTAAAGGATACTGTGCCTTTGGCTTCCACTGCCTTTGAAATATTTGGCCATTTTTGGGGAAGGGTCAGACCGATTCACGGGCTGCATGTCTCTCGAAGGACATTAGCCATGACAAACCCAACTAGCCCTCCATAATTAGAGTCAGTGACTGTTCAGAGGATTTAGCTGGCAACTACCAGAGACAGGATGTGTCCTTGGCCAGTTTGGTGTCGTGATTAAGTGCGCGGACTCTAATCTGGGAGAACCGGGTTTGATTCCCCACTCCTCCACTTGCACCTGCTGATGTGACCTTGGGCAAGCCGTAGTTCTGATCAGAGCTGTTCT